TCCCCATTATAACAGTTCTGTGAGCCAGACCTGGCTCAGGACTCCATTCATCACCTGCTTCTACAGTCCCCCCAACTTGAACAGAAAGGCCAGGATGGCACTCTGGGTTCCAAACATCAATATTAATCCAGACCCTGTATTCAACAGTTATCCAGAGGTCTGCGTTTTCACCTTTCACCAGTGTGCTGTCCATTACCTGAGGAAATTGCCACTGGCAGCGGCATCCCAGTATGTGTTTAATAAGTGGCTCTTGGAGAAGAAAAGCTCTGATTTGTGGCATTTTCCAGTTTCTATGGTGTAAATACCACCACCATAGGCTGATATCAAGCTGCCAATACGATGTCCCAGAGCACGGGCAGTACGACATCGTTGTTTAGTATTTCTATACAGATATAACAGGCAAAGTGTTTTCCTTTCCTAGTACTATCATAACAAAGTACCACAAACTGGGTGACTGAAAACAACAGTTTATCTCACAGGTCTGGAGGCCAGAAGTCCAAAATCAAGGTATTATCTGCACGGCCATGCAGGTTTCCCTCTGAAACCTATAGCGAAGAGTCTTTCCTTGCGTTTTCCAGCTTCTGGTGGTGGCTGGCAATCCCTAGCAGCACTCCAGTCTCTGCCTCAGGTGTCACATGGCCGGCTTCTCCTTCTGTGTGTCTCCCTCTGTGTCTTCTTCCTCTTTTACAAGCATGCCAGTCTATCGGATTAGGGCCCACCCTAATGACTTTATCTTAACTAATTATATCTGCCATGACCCTATTTCCAAATAAGGTCACGTTCTGAGTACTGGGGGTTAGGACTTCAATGTATCTTTTTGGGGTGGGGAGGACACACTTCAACCTGGAACATATAATTAACCTCAAGAGTGTAGATACTAGGAAAATGTGGTAAAATAACCAGGAAGTGATTTATGAGTATTTATTTTTATTTTAATATAATTTTAAATGGTGAGTTTCTATCATTTAATTCCTAGTGACTTTAACAATTGACTTAGAAAATTCCTGACAATTTAACAATCGGCTCTTGTGTGTAGTACAAGCCAGCTCCAGCACAACATGGGTCATGGGTCCCTCTGGGGAAGGACTGGGGAAATCACTAATGAGCACAGTTGCTGTGGCACTGCAGGGTTGCTCCCCACAGGGGGGCCTGGCCTCCCCCTGCAGCTTGGGATCAGAACATCCACTCAGGTCTGAAATGGGCAAGGGACCATGATTTTTCATCAGGGCATCGCCCTCAGTCTCTGGGTTATTCACATAATGATGTGAAGATGAGCAGGGAGAGATTTGGAGATAGAGTGATGTGGCCACAAGCCATGGAATGCCAGCAGCCACCAGAGGCTGGAAGAGGCAAGGAACGGATTCCCCAGAAGAAGTGTGGCCCTGCTGACACCTTGATTTTAGCCTGGTGATACTGATTTCAGACTTCTGGCCTTCAGAACTGTGAGAAAATACACTTCTGTTGTTAAAGCCATGAAGTTAGTAGTATTTGCTAAAGCAGCCACTGGAAACTAATCCAGTTGTCTTGTAAGCACTTGTCTTATTTGAGGTCTTTGATGACTTTCAAGTTTCTCTCTGCATCTGTTCAGATATCCCTATCGAAAGTCTCCTGGTCTCACATTGGCACAGGGGACTTGCAGACCTGGGTATTCAACCTTCCCTGAAGCTCTACACCTTTAGGAAGAGCTCCTGAGTCTGCTTTCTCTGCCACCAAGATGGACTCTTGGTCTTTAAGTTCTGCTTTGAATTGGTGATTAATGACCTGTGCTTGTAGTTATCTCTTGTCAATGAATCAGTGGGCTCACCAACAGCCACCCAATTCCATGGTCATTGTTTCCATTTCCATCATGTCACTTCAGTGTCATGGATATTGCTCCTATCCAGGCCTCCTTTTTCACCAGTATCTCATCCCCGTTCACAATAGGTACAAATTTAAACTATTGCACCGCTAAGTATGGCACTGCTTCACCTGCTACTATGGTGCGTCCCACTATCAGCCAACCAGCAAGTGAGCCCATTCCAAAAGCCCATTGCAGACTCAGCTTGCTAGGACCACCTGTGTTACAAATGGCCTAAGATTAGATTTGCCGGAAACACTCTGAGACTGAATTGCAGGCAGAATGCTTACTGGGGAGGGGTCTCAGGAGATGCACCTGTAAGAACATGAGGAAGGCAGGATTGGGGTGGGGGACAATGCAGTTAGCTCATTCTACAGAGAACACCGCAGCTGGGAGGGCCTCTCAGAGGGACCCAGGCTGTGGGATCTCTATGTTAGCCAACCACGGGCCAAGGGCAGTGTCCTGGGAAGGGGACTAGTGTTGAGGCAAGCCAGTACCCTGTGGCTGACAGCACTTCCCCCACGAGGGGTGTAGCCTGAAGCCATAAGCAGCCAGCGTTCCCAACAGCTGGGGCATGAGTGTGGGGGTCCTGAGCTGACATGTGGGATCTGGGTGGAACATCACTGATCTACTCCACAGCTTAAACTTTAAGGTCTGGGATGGAGCCCTATCAATGTCTTCACATGGTCATATATTTTTGTAAATGAAGCACAATATTGTTTCATTCTGTTTCTTAAAAGGAGCCCCTAAATTGTGTAAGCTTAAAGCCCCACTAATCTTGAATCTGCCCCTGAAAGTGAGAACAAATCAAACCAGTCAATCCGCGCTGAGTGAGGTTCACATAAAGGCTGAGCTGCTGTAACAAAGAGACCCTCAAAATGGATGGATTAAAACACAGAAGTGTAATTCTCTACCTCCTCACCGTCCCAAGGGAAGGGCTCCAGTTGGCAGGATGGCTCCACTCAGTCAGCCAGGGACCCACAATTCCCTAAGGCAGGCATTCTTAACCATCTTCATGCATCGGATTTCGTGACAGCCTAGCAAAGCTTCTCAGAATAAAAGAAAATACACAGGACAAAGGAATCCAATTTTTATTGTAAGACAGTATCAAAATGTTTTCTAAAACTGTGATACAGTAATTTTGTGCTTCTTCATTAATGCATTAAATAAAAAGTCACTTGCAGCAGGTTTAATAGCTACTGTAACTTAAAAGTGGAGATGAGCATACATATTTCAAGATGCCTGCTAGAAAATAACGTAACATGAAAATGTCTGTGATTTCTTTTGGTGACAAAGTCAGAAGTTCTGCTAACACTATTGTGGTCTGTTGCCTACATTTGTAGCAGATGTGTGATAGGCTGAATAATGCCCCCCTCCCCCCAAAGGTGTTCCTAATCCCTGGAAGCTGTGACTAGGTCCCCACAGGTGGTAAGAGAGACTTGGGATGTGACTAAGGGTCTTGGGATAAGGGTCTTATCCTGAGTTGTCCAGGTCGGCCCAATGTAATCACCAGTAGCAGGAGGTGTGACACCAGAAGCAAGAGATTGGAGCTATGTGAGGAAGGAAACATGAGCCAAGGAATGCAGGTGACTTCTAGGAGCTGAAAAAATCAAGGGAATGGATTCTCCTCGGAAGTTTCCAGTGAGAACCAGCCCTGCTGACACCTTGATTTTGGACTTCTGACCTCCAGAACTGCAATATAAATTTATGGAGTGTTTTTGTTTTGTTCTTCTGGTTAGGTAATTTTTTATTTTTTATTGTGAAAAATACATCTAAAATTTACCATCTTAGCCATTTTTAAGTGTACAGTTCAGTAGTGTTAAGTGTATTCACATTGTTGTGCAACCAACCTCCAGAACGTTTTCATCTTGCAACACTGAAACTCGGTACCCATTAAACAATTCCCCATCTTCCCTTCCCCAAGCCCCTAGCAATCACCATTCTACTTTCTGTCTCTATGAATTTGCCTATTCTAGGGCCTCTTATAAATGGGATTATACAATATTTGTCCTTTTGTGATGGACTTAGTCCACTTAGCATAATGTCCTAAATTTCATTTATGTTGTAGCATGCATCAGAATATCCTTCCTTTTTAAGGGTGAATAATATTCCATTGTATGTATATACCACATTTTGTTTATCCAGTCATCAGGTGATGCAAAATTTGTGTTAAGTCACTAAGTTTGTGGTAATTTGTTACAGCATCCATAAGAAGCTAATACAGGAAGGAAATGTCAAATTTCAGGTAGAGGTTAGTGAAAATAAAGATGTTTTTTCCTGCTCTTACAAGTTCACAGGCCCACCCTGAATTCTTATGTCAGGTTAGAACCCCTGCTCCAGGCATTGTCCTCATCTGCACTGTGAAATCTGGCTCTCAGACAGATCCAAGGTCCAGCTTGTGGGAAGGAGAAAGAGAGCAGGACAACCTGCTCCATGTTTGAAGACTTAGATTCTGGTGAGGATGTGGTCACATGGCCACATTCAGCATAGAAAACGCAGGAAATATCATCTTAAGTTTGGGGGCCTGTACCAGCCTCCATCTCTAGCTCTGAGGAAGGAGGGGTGAGAGGATTTTGGTGGACAAGGCAAAGGCCGTGCCAAGATCCTCTCAGGGGACTCTGGGTGGGAGGAGTCAGGTGACAGAGAGCACAGACAAGTTTTCTCAATAAACCCAACAACTCTGAGGCAGGAGGTGCTGAGGTTAGGCCTAGGTGTCTGCCCTTAGCACACCTCTGCTGTGTAAACTTGGCAAGTCTCTTAACCTTTATGACCATCAGCTGTTTCATTTTCAGGGTGGGAAAAAGCACTGTACCTACCTCAGAGGTGTTTTGAGATTTCACTGCTCTTGTGTGTGGAAAGCTTCCAGGACAGGGAGGTGGCAATGAGAGAATCTCTTCATTATACTCACTTTGCATTGGCTGTTCTCACTACCTGGAATGCTGTTCCCCCCAGATGTTCTTATGGTTCCTTCCCTCCCTCCTTCAGGTCTTCAATCAGATGTCACCTTCTCAACTGTCTTACAGCGTGCAACCCCTTCTCTGAACACCTGACTCCATCTCCAGCTTAATCTTTCTCCAGAGCACTTCTCAATAGCTGACATCATACGTATTTCGTTTATTATTTTTTTATTGTCTGACCCCTCCTACTGGAAGGGGTCAGCTCCATGAAGGTCAGGGAGGTTTGTGGGCTTTGTACACTGCTGGATCCGCAGTGCCTAGAACAGTGCTGGCCTATAGTAGCTGCTCAATAAATACATTCTAGAATCAATGATTGACTGAATGAATGAATAAAGGGATGGGTTGGTCATGATCAATGGGTTGGTCATGATCAACTGGTCCCTTTGAAGACCTCAGCCGTACCTGAAATCCTGAGCAGACCTTTTCATTCCCATCTCATATTGGTGGCAGGTGGGGAGGGGTGAGGAGACCTGTCCCGTGCTTTATACCCTGCGGTGATCAGTGGTAGCCTTACTGATTTTCTCTTCTCAACTGACAGCGCGCCTTTCTCTGGGTTATCTCTCCTCTAAGCAGCTTCCCCCAGGGAGCCTGAGGCCCCTTCGTGGAAATACTTCCTGGGTATCCTGTCACCATCCCCCTCGATATTTGAGCAATCTGCAGAGAGATGAGCCCTGCCCCACCCTCACCCCATCTGGGCACCTACAACCCTACCCTGTGGGGCTGGATCTGCCCAGTCCTGAGGATTGCTCCATTCAGGAAGTCACCTATCCTTGTCAGTTTCCCTTTCCCAGGCTTCCCTGGCCCCGCCCTGCTCCTGGCTTCCCAGCCCCAGGCTGCCCCTGGTGCAGTGCCAACCTCAGCCTGGACCTTCTGTCTGTCCTGGCTAAATGTTTCAACATGGAGCTGAGACAAGAATTAAATCCCAGACGCAGTCAGGGATAGAGCAGAGGGGAGACTGAGGCCAAAGATCCAGATAAGGCTGAGCCTGAGTGGTGGATTTGGGGGCAGATATGCATCCTCCTTTTGGTACAAGAGGCTCAGGAGTCAGGAAGGAAGTCTGGTGAGAGGCCTTGAGAGGGTAAAGGGCACCTTCATGAGTCTCCCCAGGTCCCTCCCTCGGGCTGTGGCCTGACCCCTGCCCTTTCTTTCCAGGAAGAGTTGCTGTTGCTGAGGAACTGGAGCTGCAGCTCCCACCCATTCCCCAGGACCCGGGACCTGAGGCAGCTGCAGGTGAGTTGGGAGAGTCAGGCCCAGCGCTGCCCTCACCTGGCCCCACCTCTGGCTTCTTCGGTGGCTCCTTTACCTGTTCTTTGTCACTTGTCCCTGTGTCTCGCCCTCCCCACCCGTCCCCCTGACCTCATTCCCTCACCCGCCCACGCTGGCTGCGCACTCTCACCTATCCCCTGACTTTCACCTTCACCTGTCCCTTCGAGGATCCTTCTCACCTTTCCCTCTTCACCTGTTCTCTCTCATGTACAACTCTCACCTGTCTTCCGTCTCCCCTCCTCAGGTGTCGGAGCGCCCTGTAGCCTTGGAGGCTGAGCTGGCCCTGACACTCAAGGTGTTGGCAACTGTGGCTAATTCGACCCTGGGGGACATCCTGGACCAGCCCCTCTGCACACTGAGCTATATCTACTCCAAGCTTCAGGCCTGTGTGAGTGCTCGGGGCACCCAGGCCATGTATGTGGGCTCTGACCACCGGTATGTCCCACTCTGTCCCAGGCCCTGCCTCACACAACTTCCTCACCCCACAGGTCCCAGCTCAGCCCACAGCAAGCCCCAGGCTCCACGGCCACCTCTGCCACTGGCTGCACTGGCTTCATGAGGCCTGGAAGAAGGGAGTGACCAGGGAAAGAAACTAATGTCTGGGGCCAGCAGGGAGCCTAGATATGGGAGCCATCCCTTCCTCCCCACAGGCATCCCGAGGTTGCCTTGAAGCCTCTGTCACATTCAACCTCTTCTGCCTTTGCACCAGGGACATGATCTGTATCCCCAGTGGAGACCTGTGTGTCTGACCCCTGAAACCCACCTGCAACCTGTCCTAGCACCGTAGATATTATTTATGCACCAATTACCTCCTCTAGATTATTGCTTCAGATTCCCATCTGTTTATGAATCCCTCAAAAGGTGTTTATTCTTGCGCTTTGCATACAATATGTGAAAATAAACTATTTGTCTGCAACACTGACCTTATTTATATGTGACTGTATAAATGACTGCATGACTGCATATGTGACTGTGGCCCTCTGAGTGTGTGTGTGTGTGTGTGTGTGTGTGTGTGTGTGTGTGAGTAGGGGAGGGGGAAAAGAAGGGGAGGTAGGGATGGGGAGGAGGGAAGGAAAGAGAGAGGAGGGGGAGAGAGAGAAAAAAGGAGAGATGAAAGGGGAGGGGGGGAGGGGGAAAGTGAGACAGGGAGAGAATATGAAAGAAGGAATTAATGAGTGAAAGGATCACTAAGGATGTTTTCAGCTACAAGTAATGGAAGATTTCATTGCAAATGACTCAAACATCACAAACAGTTGTTACACTGCTTGTAATGAGATGTCGAGAGGAGGCTGTGGCCAGGAGAGGTCAGTGGGACAGTGGCTTTATCATGAACTTAAGGTCTGTCTCTGTATTTCTAAGGATATGTATCAAACATGTGTTTGTGGTTCATTCATCTAAACCTCCTGTGGTTGTAAACCTGGAGTGACTATTGTCAGGGTGGAAATCTGCTGGAAGAAGTGAATAAATAGTCACAAAAAGAATTGTCACCAAAAAGTCATTTAAGTTCCATTGTGGGCATTGTTCTTTGTAGACAATTGTGTCATCTACAGTTTTCCCCCTATCTATATGCCTTTTATTTCCTTTTCTTGCCTTATTGCACTGGATAGAACTGCAGTACTATGTTGAATAAAAACGGTGACAGAGGACATCTTTGCCTTCTTCCTGATCTTAGGAGGAAAATGTTCGTTTTCACCATTGAGTGTATTGTTAATTGTAGGGTTTTTGTAGATACTTTTTATCAATTTGATAAACTTCCCTTTCATTCCTATTTTTCTAAGAGGTTTTTGGTTGTTTTTTTTAAAATCATGAATTGGTGTTGAAGTTTGGCAAATGCTTTTTCTGCATATAATCATAAGATGTTTCTCCTTTAGCCTGTTTTGGTAGATTATATTGATTAGTTTTTATAATCAATAAACTATACACCATTGGGTCATGGTGTATAATGCTTTTGATCTACTGCTGAATTCTGTGCATTAATATTTTTTAAGGAGTTTTGTATCTGTATTCATTACTTATTTTTGTGTCAGATAATAATCAATTTACCTCCATTTTTAAGCCAGTTGAGTTAGGGCATTCTGTTACTTGCAGCCAAAAACATCTTTAACAATACACATGGAAAGGTAAGGTCAGTTTCCCTTGAAGTTGAAGAATTCTGGCTGTATGGGATTGTTCTGCCTCCACCATTCCCTGAGACTGTCATTGGTATGAAGCTGCGAGGTATCCTTGTATTCAGTATCCACAGAGGGGGATGGGAAGATGAGTAATCTGGGGCTGCAATCCAGGGAACTAGGCACTTCGGCCTACCCCCATCTATGTGATATCACTCTCCTCAAACCTCTGTTTCTTGAAAGTTTCACTTCAGGCATTTCAAATCTCTGCTTCCTCATAGCCACTACTCCATCATGTCCTTTCTCTCTTCAAAGAGATTGCTTTGCCTTTTCCCTCACAGAAGCTGCCAAGTAGAAATTCCTCATTATCTATACCACTCTTCTACCTGCTCCCACCCTCCCCTTGTTCCCCTGTCACCATGGATGAGCTGCCTTTTTTCCTAACTTGGGCCAGTGCCTGATCATAGCCCCTCTTATGGCATTCCTCCATAAATTAACCTTCTCTTCCCCTCTATTTTTCAAAACTTCCTTTCTACAAGTGCCTGCCCATCAGCAGTCTCCCCTTTTATAAAATCCCTTTCTCAATTCATATTCTTATCTCTAACTACGTCCCCATCTGTCTTTTCCACTGGTTCCATTTCCTTACATACTCCAGGCTCCACAGCCCTGACAGTTAGCTACTTCCCCCAGAGCTCCAGGCAACACCAACAATCTCTTCATAGCTAAATCCTGTGAATGTTTCTCCAGTTCTCACCCCAGACGACCTCTCAGCAGCATCTAACCCATTTCTCACCAACTCCTTCTTGTAACTGTCTCTCACTTTGACTTATGTGATATCACACTCTCCTTGTCTTTCCTCAGCTTCTGGCTGCTACTTCTTAGTCACATTTCCTGGTTCTCTTTCTTCTTCCCACTTCTTAAATACTGGAGCTCCTCAGGGTTCTGTCCTGGACTCTCATCTCTCTTCCCTCTTTATGCTGTCTGTGTTTATCTCAGACATCCCTGTGGATAACCTGAAGCTTGAGACCAATCACCTTCTCACTGATTACCCTTGTATGAGTCCATTTAGGTTGAACTAGGCTACAGTAACAAATGACCCTCAAATTTCACTGGCTTACAACAATAAAGGTTTCTTTCTCATTCATGCAATAGTAACCTTGGGTAGGCTGCGTCTCAGCTCCTCATGGAATCCAAGATGAAGGTACAGACCTAGGATATTTCTGGTCTTAGAGTAGAGAGATAAGAGCACATGGTGGACTATACACTGGCTCTTAGAGCTTCCGCCCAGAAATGATACACACCACTTCACTTATACTCCCATTTCATTGGCCCTAACGAGTGACATAGCCAAACCTGAGGTCAATGTGGGCAGAGATTTATAATTTCTTCCAAGAAATGGATTTCTCACTTTGGAAGAGAAGATACAGTAATACCTTGGTTTGCGAGCATAATTCATTCTGGAAACTAACTACTCATCTTGCAAGACGTCGCTTGTTTACCACGTTAAAATGTATTAGAAATGTTTGCTCATCTTGCGGAAGACTCGCAAACCAAGTTACTCGCAATCCAAGGTTTTACTGTATTTTGAATAAGACAGTCTAACACATCCTAAATTCATATCTCCAACTCTGATCTCAAGAACAAGGACAGGGCCGTCCAAATGGCGCATTGGTTAAGAACTGGCTTGGGATGCCAGAGGGCCCCGGTTCGGATCCCACATATGAGGACCAGTGACACTGCCCTCTACAGCTAAGATGCTGAACA